AAAGACAAGCCTTAAATATCAAGGATTTAGGAAGATGCCTCTCTTTCAAGTGGATTGTTAGGGAACTTCCCGTAGCTCGATGAATGAAGTGTGCAGGAACTTCTCCAGCAGGTAAAAACGCATGTTTGCAAACAGATGTCTGGATGAGTTCTCTCGCCTCTTGATTCAAGCTAATGCAGTTTAAGAAATTCAGACGGATCTCTGGATTGTGAAAGGAGCCATCTACTGTCTCAAGTGACACACAATTTTCTGCATCTAGAGATGAGAAGCAATCTGGAAGCTGGGGCAACGATATGAGATTTTGGCATTCATAGAGTGAAAGCTGACGTAGTTGAGAAAGATGTTTGATGCAATCTGGAAGACTCTCGAAACCACTACCAATGAAGAATAGTGACACCGGAGAAGTATACACTGTCTCTGGCAGACAAATTTGTAACATATCCGACTGTAAAGTCCACTGGTTTAGGAAGTCAGAGACCCACCTGATGTTTACTTCCTCATCACCACGAGTAATTTGCATACATGAAACACCTACCATCTTGGAAATTCTTGATAAGGACATGTTGCCCAGCTTCTTGCATCTGAACATAGCCAAGTGCCGAAGCTGAGAGAGATTCTCAATCCGCGGAGGAACTTCTTCTATTTCTGTATCACTCAAGTCAAGCATTGTGATTTCTTCAGGAGCAGGTGGGAATACCTTCAGGCTTCTGCACCCCGCCATCTCTAATTTATAGAGACGAGACCATGATCTGATCGATGAAGGCAGTTCTTCTATCGCTGTACCATTCAGATTGAGTTCTTGGATGTTTGTGGAGATCTCTGGGAGAGTTTTCAACCGTGAGCAAGCGCTAAGATCCAATTTCTCAAGACTAGTGGCATTACAAATAGAGAAGGGGAGCGTCACCAGACTTGTGCAACCACCAAGATCCAAATTCATGAGACTAGTGGCGTATCCAATAGAAGAAGGAATTTCCAACAGACTTGTGCAAAAAGAGAGAAGCAATGACTCGAGGTTAGTGGCACTTGAGAGATCTGGAATCTCTTTCAGGTTCCTGGCATCACTCAAATCCATCCGCTTGAGATTTTTAAGTGGCTGTACAAACAAAGGGCACATTTCATGCGTC